GAGAACATATTGGTTGTTGCCAGAGGGGGATTGGATGGGGGTGAAATGGGTGAAGAGGGTCAAGAGGTACAAACGGCCTGTTATCAAATAAACAAGTTCTGGAGATGTAATGTCAGCATGGTGGTACAGGTAGCAATACTGTATTGCATGTTTGAAAGGTGCTAAAGAGAGTAAATCTTAAAAGTTCTCATCACAAGAAAAAATAAATTTGTAACTTTGTATGGTGACAGATGGTAACTATACCCATTGTGGTGGTCATTTCCCAGGGTATACAAATACTTAATCAGTATGTTGTTTATCTGAAACGAATAAATGTCATATGTCAATTATGCCTTCACCCAACTCCTTCGCTAATCTTATTAGTAAAAAATATGCAGGACTCACAACCTTTCTGTTGCAGATTTCCTCTTCAGTTGCCTGAAGATGCCACAGCAGTGTGTATCTCACTCCGCTTATCTCCTTAGGATATGCTGCTGCTGTTCTCCTACTGAGTGGTGGCAGTCTATGTCCCCTCCCCTTGAACTCAGACAAATCTTAGTAACCACCTTGACTAACAGAATTTGATGGAAGTGAGACTGTCATATAAAAAGACAATATGGGCTTAGCTCAGTGGTTGAGCATTGATCTATGAACCAGGAGGTCACAGTTCAAATCCTGATCAGGGCACATGCCTGGGTTTCCAGCTGGATCCCCAGTGTGGTGTGTGCAGGAGGCAGCCAATCAATGATTCTCTTTTTTTTTTGTTTCTATCCCTCTCTCCCTCTCCCTTCCTCTCTGAAATCAATAAAAATAAAAAATAATAAAAAATAAAAGTAATATGGCTTTCACCTGCTTCTCTCTGTCTCTGTCTCTCTCTGCACTTGCTTTTGGAACCAAGCTGCCATGTTGTCAGGAAGCCCAAACACGAGAGAACACCGATAAAAATTCCAGTGGACAGCCTCAATTATGATTCCAGCTAACAACCAACATCAACCCCTAGACAAGCCTTCGGAGCAGATACTCGCGGGACTTTGTGTGATCATGGGAATTTCCTGCCTGTGCTGTCCAATATAGCAACTTACCACACATGAGTCCATTGAGCAATTATAATGTAGCACGTATGAATGAAGGAGTACATTTTTTATTGTACTTAACTTAAGATAATTTAACTTTAAAAATTACATCTGGCTAATGGCTGCCACATTGGATAGTTCAGCTTCACAGCCTTTGAGTCTTCCAGCTGAAGCAACCGACATCACGGAGAGAAACAAACCATCCCACTGCCCTGTCTGTTTCCTAGCTGCTGCAAACCACGAGAAATAATAAATACATGCTTACTCAGTTTTGAAGTGATTTATGACACACCAATCAATAACAAATACACAGTCTCTATAGATTTCCCCCCTATGTTTGTTTTTTTGTTCTTATAGCAAATAAAAATGCACACATCTCTTGCATCTTTAAAATCCCTCTAGCCATGGTTATGTGTCTCTTCTTTTTTACAGCCAGTCTTTTAAATGAGTCGTCTACAATTGCCCTCTTTACTCACAACTTCTTCACTAATAGACACCCACTAGGCTCTGGAAACAAATGAGGTCACAGTAACATTAGTTCAGGCCTATCCCCCCCCCCCCCCCCCCCTCCCCCCTCCCCACGG